TGACCTAGATGTAACAAACAAAAGAAAATAGTTTTATATAGAAACATTTGTGTTTGATATAAACTGGTACCTAAAAAAACAAAGTTGTTTTACTAACTTGGCATGATTTTTGGCATTGATTTTGAAAAATCTAAAACAATTAAATGAAAAATAAGAATGATGTTGAAAATCGAAAATTCAAAAATTCTTAAACACTGAAATGCTTAAAATACTTTTTTTTTACCCTCCTCCAGTTAGTTACTAGTGCCTTTCAGTGCTGTGGCTACTAGATGAAAGACCCCAAAATATAATTATGTGAAGTTTTAAATAATATTGTTCAAATAAAATAAATTCAAATTTTGAGTTTTGGAATGAAAGTAATGACTCATCTTTTGGTAAAATAACCAAGCAAGAACTTTTCCAATTGAACATTTTTAAAATTTAATTACAAATCTCTTAAAGTGTTATTTAGAGGTATTAGAACCTATGGGTTAGACGTGTTTACTACAAACAATTTAGCTGATGATTTTATCATTAAATTTGAATATAATTTTTGTATAATTTCCTTTTTACAATTTTTTTAAAAGATTAACTTTTTTAGACAAGAAATAAACAACTATTTAAAATAAAATCTTATTTTCATTTTTTTTATTTTAAAAAGAAATTTTTTTTCTAATCAAATACAGGAGATATTCTTTAACTTAGATACAAAATTTATGATAACCATTCTGTGCCATGAAAATGTACTTATTGTACATACACTCTGTGCCATAAAAATGTACTCTGTGCCATAAAAATGTTACTTAAATATTAAACAATTTATGTTAAATTTTCTATAATTTGAGTTAAATATTAAAAAATCTATGGAATCCCAGAGCGACGAATCTTGCAAATCTTACTAAGATTTGTAAATATTTCTTTGAATAACTTGTTAAAATCTTACTAAGATCTTATAAAGATCTTATTAAGAAATAAATATATAAGTGATGTACAGACGGCAAAAGCCAAATAAGCTAATAATTGGGTTTAATCTATATATGCAAGGGTAATATAATAACATTTAGTTATTATATATGCATGTATAAAATGTACCTATACATCAGCAGAGACTCTGCCATCTAGCATATACCATTGGTAATAATCAGGAGCTAATTGGCCTGTACATTGACAGATAGCATAGAATCATTAGCTGTATCCAATACACTTGCACCACTTTATAGACTAAACCATTAATGGTGTATAAGTGCGCTTTATATATGTATTTTGCATACCTAACATTATAATTTTACCTTTATATAGATACATTATATTCTATTATATATATATATATATATATATATATATATATATATATATATATATATATATATATATATATATATATATATATATATATATATATATATATATATATATATATGTATATATATATATATATATATATATATATATATGTATTAAAAACATCAGCCTATAATTTTAAATTCATGTAATAAAATCATGTATATAGTTCAATATATAGAAGCAAATAATGACAAGCAAGTAGAACAAGCCACTAATAATTTATAGGGATAAATTGAACAACCTCAAGAGTTCTACTTAAACTCTTTATTATGGAATGTGAAGTAAGATAAGAAGGACTACTTTATTTTTTGCACAAATCTAACCAATTTTTGATGATTTGAGATTAAGAAAGCTGTAAATTTTTTTTTTAAATACTCAAATATTTCCTAATACAATATAGAACTTGTCTAATATAATGCAATTTTCAGTTATATTTAATATGTTTTCAGAATATGACGAACATGATAAACACAGAACAAAAACTTGTTAATGGTTGCAAAAACCAAAAGTCATTTATGTTATTTGTGGCAAAATCAACTAGTTATGATAAATCTTGCAAATAAGCTAGCAAAAACAAGTTCTTTAATGAAAGTGTAAGGTTTAAAATGTTTAATTGTAAAATTTTATAATAATATGTAATATATGCATTCCTAATAATAATATTATACAGACTTAAGTTAAGATTTATTATATTGAATTTTAGTTGTTTAAGGAAAAGTACATACCCCAATAAATGCAAAAAACCATAACAACTGTGTAATCTATTTAAAATAATTAGTTTCCATATTTTAAAAAATAATGCAATATTTCATTTTCAGAATATGTATAAAGATTATGTGGAAGTTATTACAGGGTGTTGGCCAGATCAAGGAAATCAGGGAATTTAGATTTCTGCAAGAGACTAGGGAATAATCAAGGAAATTGGGTTGTATTTTGAAATAATCAGTGAAAAAGGCTATGTGGCAAATGCACATGACCTAAGTCAGTTTTGTATCATACACGTAATGTAAAAATTTATTCAAAAGATTTTTTTAAATGGCCTTCTACTGATAATTTGAATGTTGCTTGTAATTATATTTATACATATATTTGCACTAAAGCATTTTTCTGAACGAATTTAAGTTGATTTTCTCTAAAGTTGAGCATTTGTTGCTTTAAATTAAGTGAGCAAAAACAGGTTGAAAATCAGGGAAAAGTCAGGCAAATCCATCTTTAAATATTGGCAGACACCCTGTATTATATTTATTTGCTTAAGGAAAACAACATCTTACATACCCTGGAACACTGGGAGAAGAATAGAAATAGTTGTTAGTTATTAAATGTTATATTTATATGAAGACTACAGGACAAAACCCACATTAGTTTATGTTTTTAATTTTAATAAAAATAGCATTTTTTGTTTGATGAATTTAGCTTTATATATGTTATAAATGAATGTTAGTTGATTTCTGTACATAATCATATTCAAACATCTCAGTTATACATAATACTTTTTTTTTGAAGTAAAGTTAAACACCAGTGCACAATGAAAAGGATGGATATACACAAATTAGTGCCACTGGGTGCACAAATATGTGAAACATATGTTGTTTTTCCTGTCTTCAACAATGCAAAAGAGCCTCAATCTTTAGTGGTATTTGTTATATTGTTATTACAGTGTTGTGTTATGTCTTGAGTAACAACTTCTTTTATTTATTTTTTTAAATTAACTTTAAAATTGATAACAGTTAATTAAAAAGGATATTAATAATATTTTTTGGTGTTGATCTATGCATCATTGTTAGTAACGAATTGTCATAAAACAATATTAATTTGGCGCAAAATCTCTTGGTACAGAAAGTTTAAAGTTTTACTAAGTTGATCCAAAAATATAAAAACAGAAAAAGTTACCCTAAACAATTTTATGTAAACACAACGCAATTGTAAAACGCTTTAGTGGTCAGACGCAATTGTAAAACGCTTTAGTGAACAGGCTGTTGACACAGCTGTAAATGATATCAGTGAGATGGAACTTCATTCAAAACAGAAATATTTGAACATTTAAACTGCGCGCAGTTTTATATTGCATTGTTTTATCACTTATTAAAAAGTTGACTTTCGTTATTTGTGTTTTGATTTGTAAGCACCTGAAAAAAGTTTAGTTAAAAGTTTTTATGAGTATTATTATAGTTCGTTGGTAATACTTTCTCTTTTTAAGGTTTTAAAATACAATTTTCTCATTTAAAGTGTCTACGCAGTATGGAATAGTCTTGCATAAGTGTTTTGTTGTATTATATATTATAAGTATTATTTATACTATTAACATGAGCACTGTTGTATTATTAATTATGAATTTGTTTCGAGAAAAAATTAATTAAAGTACTTAATTATTTTATTTATTAGCATTCTCTACGTGAAAATATACTTGGAATTTAATAGGATCAGAATAAATACAAAATAATCTTATAAGATCTTACAATTCTTACTAAGAATACATACTAACTTGAAAATCTTACTAAGAAATTAAGATAAATCTTACTAACCTTATTAAAATCTTACATTTCTTACAAATCTTAATAAAAAACCGCACAAAAACTTACAAATCTTAATAAGAAACCGCACAAAAACTTACAAATCTTAATAAGAAACCGCACAAAAACTTACAAATCTTAATAAGAAACCGCACAAAAACTTACAAATCTTAATAAGAAACCGCACAAAAACTTACAAATCTTAATAAGAAACCGCACAAAAACTTACAAATCTTAATAAGAAACCGCACAAAAACTTACAAATCTTAATAAGAAACCGCACAAAAACTTACAAATCTTAATAAGAAACCGCACAAAAACTTACAAATCTTAATAAGAAACCGCACAAAAACTTACAAATCTTAATAAGAAACCGCACAAAAACTTACAAATCTTAATAAGAAACCGCACAAAAACTTACAAATCTTAATAAGAAACCGCACAAAAACTTACAAATCTTAATAAGAAACCGCACAAAAACTTACAAATCTTAATAAGAAACCGCACAAAAACTTACAAATCTTAATAAGAAACCGCACAAAAACTTACAAATCTTAATAAGAAACCGCACAAAAACTTACAAATCTTAATAAGATCTTACTAGTTTTCTTGCACGTCTTGCAAGTCTTACTAATCTTACTAAGAATTTTATTAGGAAACATTATTAAGATTTGTAAGATTCCTCGCTCTGTTAGCCGCAGCACCTGTTAAGATTTTTTATTAATATTTGAAAATTATTTATGCACTTTATTATATGTATATAAAGTATATAAAAAAAACCTGGCATCTTGCTCACTTTTGCTGGACCTAAAAAAATAAAAGTTTTCTTTTTGAAAGATTCAATGCTTTACTGATAACACTTTATCCAATTTTCAACTTTCCTTTTTTATAAATACTATTTTATTATTAAAATAGTATTTACAGAAAAGTAATTAAAGGTCAATCAAATATAACTTTCAAGGTGCTGAAGATCATTGTGAATCTACCAAATACATTGAAAAAAAAAAAAATTGGATGGTTCTATATTGTCAAGCAAAATAACAAAGTTAATGAAGGGTCAGAGCTTTGGTTAAAATTAAAAAACACAATTTAAAAAGAAATAGTTGAATTCCACATAATCAAACACAACCATAGTTTTATAAGTGTTGATTGTGCATCAAAACTTTTTTCAGAAAATTTATAATTAAAGATTTGCTTGCTAAAAAAGAAGTCCAAATTCAGCCGGTAAATATGGATTGTATAAATGGAGAAACATTAAATATCTTATCAAAAGTTACCCTTAAATGCATTACTGATATCAAAACTTCTATGAATTTCAGAGGTTTAAAACAAAACTGCAATACAATATTCCCTAAAAGTTGACCATCAAGCTAAACTGTGAAATCAATACCACTAGTTGCAATTCTCACATTTTTTGGGCACTGCAAATTCATATTTGTTAAACATTTTTTAAAACACAATAAACACTGCATCTGGTTGTTAACCATCTGATGTAGAAATAATTACCCATTCACTGTTTCAAATTTCAAGTTTAGAAAACTTCTGCAAAGAGACCAGTGTATACTTCCAGCTATTGAAGGAGTGGTAAAATTATACCACTAATATCATACTTTTTAAATGCTGAAAATTACCCAAAAGTGACTTTTCAAATAACAAAAAAGTAATTTGTTTCTTGCTCACAAAGTATTAACAGACAAACCGGCTGTTAAATTAAAAAATGATCAACTTTTACATAAATGGTACAATAACTCTGTAGCTAGTTCATTGAAATATGATGTGAGTCGCAAACTTACCCTTTGGTTTTCAAGAGATCTGCAACTTTTTCTTACGTTGATAATGTGGGATTTAGAAAGTTTTTTGAAAAAAATTGTGGGTTAAAACTTCCCACAGGTTCTGCTGTAAGTCAAGTTGCTCTACCTAATATTTACAAATCTTGAGGGCAATTATTGTAATTATGTATTGGGAAACTTAAAAGATATTGATGAGGCAACAACTATATAATGGTTGGGCTGAGTACAGAAAGATTATATGAAGCTAAAGTGTTCCATTATTAATAATAACTGGGATAGAAAAATATTTACTCTTGCATGCAACAAAGGATCCACAACATTGTCTGGCTCATATCTTGCATTTATTATTGACATGTGATGGCATGAGTAATTGTAACAAAATAAAATGTTTGTTAGAAAAATGTAGAAAAATTGTAACATGCTTGAACTCAAAGTCAACTTTACTTTTAGAGGAATCACATCATGAAGCAGATATAAAATTGTACAACAATCTTCGAACTCTTGCTGAAATGAAAGATATGATTTACGATTTAGAACAGAAATTTCCAAATCAAACTTATGATGATTCAAACATGATTGAAGAAACAAATTTTGATGGCACATGTAAAGAGGAATTTGAGGATAATTTTATTAAAAAACAGCATAAGAGCCTAAAACAGAATATACACACAAGATGGAAAAGTTCTCACTTTATGATAAAACCAATTAACCAGTTATTAGATACTGTAGAAATTTTACTTGAAAAATATGGCAGGGAAGACCTTTGTTTAGATAATGATTAATATGCCTTGATTTCTGAATTAGTTAAAAACCATTTGAATTGTTAAACCTTGTGGTCAATGTAGGTAACTTTCGTTTGACTTTGCCATTAGTTAACACAAAATACTAAAGGTTCTTGCAATAAATCCTTCTGATTTGAATGAAATTAAAAAACTAAAGGAATGTAGCTCTAAAATTGACCAAAAACTCAAGTTATCAACATCTGCAAAAATATGTTGTTTTTTAGATCCAGCCACAAAAATTTTATATACAAGAGATAAAATAAAGAAATGTTTGTTGGAGAATGCTTTAAATATAAAATTAATCCAATTGGATTCAATTGAAGGTATTTTATTTCTAAACAATTATTCGTTAAGACAGTGGTATAATTAATAAATTAAATCATGACATCAATAAAAGAAATCTTTGTTTTAGCAACAATTACTAAAAATTATTTGAAACTTAATGTTTTAAGTTACTTAAATTATTGACAATTTGCACAATTATCTAAGTGGTATATTATAAAGTTTTATTAAATAATTTGTTTATTATTTATTTCAGTACTTTTATTTATCTGATTGTAGTTATGTCAGAATTCAATCAGAATCAGCCAACAAACTAGTTAACAAAGTCACTATACGTTTAGCCATTATTTATAACTGCTAGCCAGCAAGCTGTATGTTCTTAGCATGGCTTAAACTTCTAACTATTTACCACCTTCAAATAAAACTAAAGTAATGAAAACATTGTTTTACAATATCTGGTACAACAGTGTGGAGTTTAGTTTTTATAGCAGTGTTAATGTGTATACAGCAGAGAAACCAATAAAAACAAAATGGCAAAACACATGAAAATTATTTTATAATAAAAGCTTATATTATCAAGAGACCTTAAAAAAGTATCCTGAAATTTAGTTCACTAATTAACATTTTAGTTAACAAAGGAAATTATCAAGTATAATTGTTTGTTTTTGCATATAGCAATATTATAATTTATAATACGAAAATATATTTTTAAAATTTTATTTGAAAAATTTGCGATAAATAACTGAATGAAAAACTTTGGAAGGACCTAGGCTAAAAATAACTTTATAAATTTAGTAAATGATTTACTATAATATATACTAGAATACATATAAATATATAATATATACTATAATGATTTACTAAAAACTTTACAAAAATCATAAAAAAGTTAGAATCATATGTTCATCTAATAAACTTATTGTACTTAAGCATAACTTAAAAAATAAGTGAAAAAAAAAAAAAAGACAAATTTAAACTGATTTACCTATTGGTTCAGTTGGTTTTGAATTAAGTGGAACAAATTTTGTTTGACCTAGATGTAACGAACAATAGAAAATAGTTTTAAATAGAATTTGTGTTTGATATACTGGTACTTATTATAACAAAGTTGTTTTACTAACTTGGCATGACTTTTGGCATTGATTTTGAAAAATCTAAAACAATTGAATAAAAAATAATTACTAAAAAAAATCTAAATTTCACAAATTCTAAAATCCTGCAATATTTCAAATTATTAATAAATACTGCAATGTTTTAAATTATTAATAAATACTGCAATGTTTCAAATTATTGATATAATTATATGTAGTTTTAAAATATGTTATTAAAATAAAATAAATTCAAGTTTTGATAGAAAAGTAATGATGATTCCCCCACAATTAAGCCAAGCAAGAACTGGTAACTGAACATTTTTGAACTTTGATCATTCAGCTTTTGAAGTGTCATTTAGATGTATTACAACCTATGACTAAGAAGTCTTTTGTGACAATGTTATCTTAAATTTGTACAAAAATGATTTTAAATTTTAAATAATTTTCTTCTTTTTTTTTATAAAAGAGATCAACTTTTTTAGAAAAAAAAAAACAAAAATGAAGAACTGCTGTTAAAAATGAAGAACACAAAAATGAAGAACTCCCTCTTGAAAGCAAAGAACACAAAAATGAAGAACTCCCTCTTGAAAACGAAGAACACATAAATATAGAACTTCCTGTTGAAAATGAAGATCACAAAAATGAAGAACTCCCTCTTGAAAACGGAGAACTCCCTATTGAAAACAAAGAACACAAAAATGAAGAACTTCCTGTTGAAAACAAAGAACACAAAAATGAAGAACTTCCTGTTGAAAATGAAAAACACAAAAATGAAGAACTCCCTGTTGAAACGAAGAACTATTCAAAATAAAACAAATTTCTTTTTATTTTTTTTTAAATTTAAAAACAGATTCTTTGTCTTTGATGCAACATTTATAGACATTTATAGAAACAATAGATAAAAAGAAAAAAAAAAAAAAAAAAAAAAAAAGAAAGAAAGCAAAAAGAAAAAGAAAATTAAATTAAAAAAAAATTAAAAAGCCAAACAAAAAAATGAAAAAAGTAAAACAAAATAAAAACAAAAAGCATTAACAAAGAAAAGAAATTCAAAATAATTAAACTTATTATTTTGAATTTCTTTTTATTATTTAAAAAAAAGAAATTATTTTTATAGTTATTATAACTATTTTTAATAATCTTTTATTCATTTTAACATAAAATGAGTAAAAGCTCGAATAAAAAACTAAGCTACGGAAAAAATGTTTTTTTTAATTTTTTTAATATAATGTTTTTGTTGTATTTTTTTATATTATTACTTTTTTTAATTAGTTTTGTTGTTAGTTTTATTTATATTTTTTTTGTTTGATAACTTCATTGAATTTTGACTATTGTTTTCCAACAGTTCATTATTACATTCATTAGCTTGATATCACTTCATTAGCTTGATATCACTTCATTAGCTTGATATCACTTCATTAGCTTGATATCACTTCATTAATATAAGTATAATAATATTAGTAGCAATAGTTTCTTTTTTTCTTTTTGAAAGCTTTTAACAGTTTAGTAATCTTTTTTATTTTAATTTAATTTACTTTTTTTTTCTAAATTTGAATTATCTTGTAGTAGTGAAATAATTTTTTTTACTAAAAAAATTTTTATTGTTACTTAGTTATTATTTTAACAACATCATTATTTTTACTTTTTTTATTATTTTTGTTTATATTACTATTATTTTTACTACTTCTTACAGAGTATATACAGGGTATTTGTAAACGTTTTAAGAGGATATACATTTTTTTACTATTCACAACTTAATTTATGTTCACGAATAAATTTTAAATTTCTAAAATATTCTCTTAGTATTCAAAAATTATGACCTTATAAAATTTGTAAACCCCTAAAAATGAGGGGTGTTCAAACTTTATGTGGCCTTTTCATAAATGTGTATAAGTATATAATCCCTGGAGACAAAATTTTGGCGCAAAATAAACACAAGCAGTATAATAAAAAATTATTAATTATAAAAAAACTACTAGTTTGTTTATTTAACATTTAAACAAAAATTATTATAGAATAGTTAAGAATATTTAAGAATAGTTACGAATATAGTTATTTTTTACTTTTGGGACTGATATAATGCTTTCCCACTGTAACAACGTACTGCATCAACTTTTCTGGATGTTTGTACATTCATTGTGCAAAATATGTGCAAAAAATTTAAATAAGAACAGATTCTTTTATGCAGTTGATTGTTATATTCAGCTCTCCAATAGTCTTTATAGACAAACTTGCAATTGCTCTAACTGTTTATAAATCCACTCAGGAATTTTTTTTTCTTTAAACGATGAATGTTTATTTTGATTTTTAATGTTTTTATGATGTAGGAATAGTCACACTTGAATTTCTTTGCAGGTTTTTTTTTGATGAAGTTTCAGACTCATTGTTTAAAAGGCATTTCAAACAATTAAAGCTTCTAGTGGTCATAATTTTTGGTTATCTGCCTGATTTAGGCACTTGAGACATTGCTTTATTGTTTTTCCACTTCACCACACAATGACTCTTTTGGAATGATTAAAAAAAAAAAATTTATAATACCCTTAGTTTTACCATTAGAATGTATTAAAAATTGTTGTTCACTTTTTTAAAGTAGTCAGCAACATTTTGAAATTTTTTGATAATTAAAATTTGAAAAACTTTGAGTAAAAGGAAAAACTTTGTAAACAAAACAATCCAAAAAGTGAGGCTGGGTAATTCAAATAAATTTTAACTGCTTAAAGATTGTCCCAAATTTTTGTTACCAGAGGTTAGATAAGTGCTAATAAACAATAACAATTTGCTTATCTTTATAGCATACAGCTTTTTCACACGAGGAAATATTTATAAATTTTCAGAAAATTTTCTATTACAAGCATAAACTAAGTCTTTCAGCATACATACCTTTCATAATAAGTAATTCTGTGTGTATAAATCTAATATAATTGATGCAAAAAAAATAAAACAAAAAAATTAAAGTATTTCAGATGTTTTCATTGTTTTAAAATCTATTAATGTATTTTATTTTTTATCTTTATAAAACTTTAGGAAAAACCTGGCATCTTGCTCATTTTCGCTGGACCTAAAAAAAAAAAAAAATTATTTTCCTTTTTTTCAAATTCAATGCCTTATCAATAACACTTTACCGAATTTTAAACTTTATTCCATAACTTAAAAACGACATGCAAAGATAAAAGCAATGATAAAGTTTTTTACTTCTATTTACTTAGGCTCTTTACTCTTTGAATTCTCTTTTAATGAATTAAATTCTTTGATTTTAATTCACCAATAGATATGAGTGTGCCAAGTAATTTAACAAAAACAAAACAATACAAACTACAAATACAAAATTTTACAAATACATAAAAATTTTCCGGGATGTTATTATTTTATTAGTTTCATTAGCAACACTTTGTATATGTAAAAAGGAACTTGCTGCTGTTTATCAAGCCAGATGTGTTATATTTAAAGTGTGTAATACATTTTTTACATTTTTTTTCTCATATCTCAAGTAAAACAACTTGCATAGTTCAATAAATGGAAATATTACAACTCCATAAAGGTATTGCCTTATCAATATCTCATATAATTTTATCTATATAAATTCTATGTAAAATCAGATTTAAAGATATGAGTATACATTTGGTAGAGCAACTATTTGTTTTAAAATTGTTCAAGTTTGTTTAAGTTAACAAGTAGTAAAAAGATTTAATGTAAATTCTATTTCACTCTTTAACTACTTTATAAACTAAATTTTTATTTTTCATAAAAATTAATGACAGAAGAAAAGAAGCATTAAATTTCTCACACTGTCTAAAGTCACCATTTTTAAAGAACATAAAATAGCAACAGACATTATTCAGCAAGAATTTTTAAAGAACTAACTAATCATTAAGAGGGAACACTTGACGCATCATTTCAACAAGCATATTGATGGCAAAGAACCATTTTAAATCATGAGTTATATTAACAGTTCTAAGAATAATTGAAACATTCAACCAACAACTAAATACTTTGTTACTTTTTCCAGTAATTCTATATGTAAGGTTGTGTGTATTATATGGTTCAAACGAATCATATAATACAAACAATGTCATGAAACTAACAACAATACTGCTTGGCGTTAGATTCTACCCATGCATTAAGGGGCTGTCCATTGATTAGTCAACAATTTTCTGGTGATTTTCACCTTCCCCTCCCCATTGTCATCAGCTTGTCAAACTTCAGAGACCCTCCTATAAAATTATGTCAACATTTAATTACCCCCCCCCCTCCTTCTTCTCCTTAAAAAAACAAAAAAAAAAATGAAAAGAAAACTAAAAACATTTTAAATAGCAGTAACAGTAGCAGTTTACAATTACAAAAAAAAGTACTTCTTTAATTCATTAACATATTTTTAAAAATAAATCCAAATCTTACATTGTAATCTCTACATCTTACATGGAAATGCCAAATGTTCTTTGATTGTTGTTATTGGCATAGGCTCTGATTGATAACTTCTTGTGGATCCGAAATATAAGACAAGTCAACATTTTCTTCATCTAGCCATTCTACACTTAGCATCTCTCCATGAGCAATAATTACCATGAGATCTCTCTGCTTTTTGGAAGCCACTTGCATTAGAAGAATTCTTTGTTGTTGAGGTGCATGTAATATTTTACTGGACCCTGAAACACATTGGTGATGCTGTTGAGAATGCTTCTTTAATTTAGTTTATGCTGCTTCTTAGCAAAGCAGCATAAATGTGACAGATTTTACAGATCCGTTCATACAATGACAATTGAATAGATGGACAATATATATCATATGGAAGAATTTGGAAAACTTTTGCCGATCGAGGTAGTATATTTTTAACTTTTATAGACTGATTACAGAAAAGAGACGGAAATATATGTGAATTTATATCAGATATATCTGGTGCTTTAAGACCCTCATTAGTTTGACAGACTGGAATTGTTCGAGTTATAAATCTATCAGCAATAATTTCAAAATACAAGCTTCTAATTGGTTAACAACAAGTAAAATCACAGCATTTGATAATTTGTAGAAAATACTGAGTTATTCTTACATGGTTTTGAAACCAAACTTGATCTTTGATTAATAAATTTTCAACTTCAAGCTCAGACACAATATACTCTGCCACTGTTGGAAAATTATCTATAACTACTTGCTTCCATACTTCTGACAATGTTTCGTTAGCATATTTAAAGTTTAATTTTTCCAACTCTTCGTCAATTGTTCTACCTTATGTGTCAAGGTGGCTTCCGAAATGTTCATGTGGCAAAATTAGTCCTGACAGTTCTCGACTAAGAGGAGTCATTTGTCTTTCTATTCAATTAAATGCTCTTCTACCAGGTGCATTTGTTGCTACAAACATTGCATCAATGTTTTGCTTTACATAATGATGGACTGCAACATCAATAACTTTTTGATACCTTGAATTTTTATCAGGTCGATCCACAGACATAATAAGAATCGGTTTGATCAACTTGTTGCTTGGATTCTTTGTAACAATGTCAAACTCCTCCAATTCAAATAGCCTTTCATAATCCAGTCCATGGCTATAAGCTGATGATGAGCAATACTTGCTTTATCTGATGGCTATGTTAGTTGGACCTGAATATGTTACAGCTTCTGGTTTACCTAAACCGTTTTGGATTTCAATGCCAGCATAACATAGATGAGTATTTCACTTTATAAAAATCCCGGAAATTTTTTTTCTATGATAATCCCGGAAAATCCTGGAGTTTGAATGAATTAAAAAGTTTGAATGAATTAAAAAGCAAAAAAAAAAAAGAAAAAAAAATTGTTACGAAAATTGATCTTGTGAAAATCTTAATTATAGAAAACATATTTGTTTAAATGCAAAAGTTGTCGTATGTAAAACTTTGTGTGAAAATATATTAATTTTTTTCAAATTAATATCAAAAAACATCTAGAAATTTCTGGAAAAATTAAAGGTGTTTTAAGTGAATTTCCGGAATTCCGGGAATTTCCGGAAAAAACTCATCTATGGCATAAACAGATGGTATGAGTTTGTGTCTAAGTGCTACTACCCAATTGTGATCAGACAGTGTAACGCGGTATTTAACGTGCATTAAAAACAGGGCATGCTTGTTAGCTGCTGTTAATCTTATGGGGACTCTAGTTTTGTCATCTTGACTGATAAAGCATACTTTTTTAAGTCCGAACAAAGAAGCCACTTCCTCTAGGTAATTCAAAGTAGCGCTACAAAATTGACCATCAATATATTTTGAATGTAAACCATTTTGTGCTCAAATTAACTTCACTGATACAGTTGTTACATGGCATTTGCCTTACAATGATAAATTTTGTTTTGGCAAGAGCTGAGTATAAACAGCACTTCTACTTGAAAACCTTGAATCTTTAATTGCTCTGTCAATTCATTAAGATTTTTAACACTGCAATACATATTTTTCTTTTGTCATAAGCAGCAGACCCATACAATGCAATGTCAAAAATAGTTTTTAAAAGTAGCGACTGACCTTCAATTGTTGGTCAACCAGCTGTCTGTTGGATCTTTAATTTACTGCTGACATTTAACAACGAATCTACTTTTTTTGGCAAATTGTCCCCTTTTTTCAATTTATTTCAAATTTCAGTTACCTCTCTTTGACAGTCTAGCTTACGCTTGTTGGGAAATGCTTTAATATATGCATCATACAATAACTTGTGAAAGTTTGGTTTGTCCATTGTAAATCTAAAAAAAAAACTAAAAATTTAATTCAATTGTTAATAAACTTGTTATTTAATACAAAAACTAAAACAAATAATTAGACCTAGGCCTATTTAAAAATATTCAATAGTTCTGAAGATTCAAGACATGTAATGTATTAATAAGATATCAAATAAAAAATGGGCAGGAACCTTTTATATAAAAGTTGTACCTGAAAAATAAAATAAAAACTACCCATATAAACTAAATGGGTTTTATTTATATATTTATTTTTCAGGTACAACTTTTATATAAAATTTATTTTTTCTCAAATTTTTATTTATCATTAACAGTAGACAATAATAACAGTAGAAAATATCTTTTTAAGAAGAATTTTAAAATATTTCATATACAATTTGCTTAATTGAAACTTGGATTTCTTTAAATAAACTTTCAGATAATTAGGTTTTCCATCTTCTAGATTTTGAAAAATTGAGTGAAGGTTGAGTGTGTAATACAAAACTACAAACACTGCCTAATTGTCCTTATTTTAAGTAACTAAATTTATTTTAAAAAATAATGTTAACTTTTCTTAACCTCCCCCCCTCCCCTTGTCATAAATTTTCAGACCCCCGCTCCTCTATTTATTGTTGACCTAATTAATGAACAGTGTTGACAGTTAATGGACCAATACAATGAACGAACAGACAGTCTGTTTGGAAAAATATTTGAAAACATTTATAACCAAATGCAGCTATGCTGTTTTCCTACTCAAAGCACAATGTGTAAATGTTTTTTCTCTTAAAATTTGTTTTTGCCACAACTACTCTTTTCACACATTTTCACATAAATTTATATCATAAAAAACATAAAGTTTTATCACACAATAGTCCACAAATATTAACATTAACAACCACTGAAACACATGTTGTAATAAACATATTTACATTGATGAATTGAATATTTGTTAAGCTTTATTCCAGGATGATTTAAAAATTTCTTTCCTTTATGTTAATGTTTGTTAAAATTGATTTTGCAAAAGTACTTTTTAATTTGTAACTTAAAAGTACTTCCAACATTAATTTTTTACTTCAACTTAAGTATTTTCGTCTAGAGGTACTCTTCACATTTGCTTTTTTACTTTAAGAGACAGTACTTTTACCTTTTACTTAAATATTTTTAAAATGAAACAACCCCAAGCCTGTTAGTGTAAGATAATAAGTCTGTTAATGTAAAATAAAGCCCCAGATAATGTCTGTTAATGTGAAATAAAATCTGTTAGTGTAATAAGTCTCAGGAACATTTGGAAGTCTGACAGTTAACTAAACATGTTTATTGCTGCTAAATCAAAAAAAGCAAAGCCAAGAATTTCTACAACAAGATTAAACTTCTTATTTGATCACAGTTGGGCTCTCAGCTTGATCTGGATTTGATGTGGTCAATTGAGCTTCATCTCTTCTTGCGGTTGATAATGATTTTTTCAAGAAAATTCTACAGTGTTAGCAAGAAGCAAGAGATTGGCTTGCAAAGCTTAACATTGTAATGTAACCATCTAAATGGAGGTTAATTTAAGACTCTTTAGAAGCATTGTTAATTATTATTTTGGATGTCCAAAATATTAGATAAAAAATTAATATTAGATGAAAGACTCCTTGATTTATTAATTATAAAAAGTTAACATTAGAAGTGAATATACTTTAGTTAAAACTATGTGCTGTTAATATCAAAAGAAATTAAACTTTTGTTGAAACTTTGTTAAAAGTGATTTGATGATAGAATACTGTGAAGTGTGTATTACCTTTATCCCTTTTTTTACTGTACATCAATTGATGTTGAGCCACAAGAAAATTTATTATAGTAAAAGTTTTGTAAAGAAAACCTCACTAAACTGGATTTTTAATTTTTCTGACTTTATCAGAAATAGTTTGCAAAAAAAAGTTTTTAGTTTTTAAATCAACAAAAATGTTATTACAAAATTTTTTTAAGATCAGTAAAATATACAATACAGTGTTTTGAAGCTAGATAGTGAGCACCGTATGTATTACCTTTAGATATCTTTTTACTGTACAATGATTAGTGAAAAATATAATTAATAGTGTTTTTCATCAAAATCTTAAAAATTAAATCTTTTGGAGGAAAGTAAAAGATATTTCGGATAGTTGCTCTACCATATAAGTAAAGTTACTCTACTATATGTGTTCATACCTCAAATGGTTTTTTATGAAATACATTAGCAAAACCTTTTTGTGTGACATTGTCAAAAATTGTCAATAAGAAAACCAAGATTATTATTATTAGATATAATTATTAGATATATTTATTAGATATATTTATGAGATATATTTATTAGATATATTTATTAGATATATTTATTAGATATATTTATTAGATATTTTAAAATTTTTTTTCAAAAAAATAGAATATTTCTAAAATTAGTCAGTTTTATTTAGAAATAGAAATTTCTAAATAAAACTTACTAATAAATTCGGAAGGATCTAGTTAATCTACTTTTATTTATGTAAACTTGATAAAGTAAATCATTTTATAAATTTATAAACACAGAAAGATAAATACTTATTATAAGAATTATAAGATTCCTAAAAAAATATGAAATATAAAAACAAACTACAAACACAAAAATGTAATATAAAATATGAAAAAGTAAAACAAAATGAAATTGATTTACCAATTGGTTCGGTTAATTTTGAATGACCTGCAAATAACAAAAAAAAAAGACAAATCCATCACATCATTCATGACTAAATAAAGAAATATGCTTGATGGATGCTAATCAAGACAAATATTAATCACTCTTAAAAAAAGTAATATATCCATCATATTTTTTTTTGTTCCTAACTGAATTAAAAAATCTGTATGATAAACAATCTTAAAAAAAAACTATTAATATTATTAGACTAACTTAGCAAAAGTTTTGGCATTGTTTTCGAAAATTCTAAAATAATAAACTTAAGAAAGTATAAAACAAATAAAAATAAAAATTGTGATTTAATATTAAAACTTTGTAACACAAAATTAATTTTTAAAAAATGTCACAGACCTGGCATTTTACTTGATTTTACTGGACCTAAAAAAAATTGGTAAATAATTTTTCATTTTTGATGATTCAAAGATTTATTGATAACTCTTTACTTATTTAAAAACTTTTACTGCAGATGGTGATACACATAAATATTTAGATATTTTTAGTTAGGACAGGAGACTGCTATTAATAAACTGAAAACTGTATTTTAATTTATTACCTTATTTTAATAAAACTTCTTTTCACATTAAAATATTGATAAATTTGTCTCAATAAAGTAGGGTTAAAATTAAAAAAGTTTGTTTTAACCTTGATTTACAAAACTAAAACTATGTTTCTTCCTACAAGAGTAATATTGAAAGTAAGATTGTTTGAAAAAGTGATTGATTGAAAGCGACTATTTTGAACTTGATAATAAGTTATAACTTTCCAGGGTACGTGGTGTTAAGTGTAAAGCAATCTATGTTAAAAAAAGATCTATGTCCAGTATAGCAAAGAGCAATAAATGGAGTGTGTTACTTTAGAGAATTGGATTTTTATTTTATTTTTGTTATATGTGTTGGTAATGATAGATAAGGGTTTTCTAAATATCACCATAAAGGCATTTAAATGGGTAAAAGTAACAGTATCGAAACAGCCAAACTAAATTAATTCAAAAACAGAATTTCGAGATTAATATCGAAATAGAGAATAAAACTAAAATTGTGAAAAAGGAATTGTATCAAAAATACCAAAAGCAGAACAAGATCGAAATTAGCTGTAAATGACTAATCAAAATAATTAAAAAATTGAATAATGTCAAAAATTAAGAAAATGATTATGATTAAATTTTTTTTAATTAATAGACTGCCTGCCCGAACCAAACCCTCTGTCAATGTAGCAGCACTCCTTGCATGTTCTACATGCATGGTCAGCCAATGTAACAACACTCCTCGCATGTTCTACTTATTTGTCAGTTGGTGTAATAGCATATTAATTAAAATTAATTGACATTGATAAGACATCAATTTCTTGAGCAGTTAATTTTTTATACTATTTTGCTTTTCCTATTTTTGATATTTTCACTATTTTTGATATTTTTGAATTATCAAAACTCACATTTGTGAATTTTGATAATTAAAATTTGTGAATTTTGATAATTCACATTTGTGAATTTTGATAATTCACATTTGTGAATTTTGATAATTCACATTTGTGAATTTTGGTAATTCACAATTGTGTATTTTGATAATTCACATTTGTGAATTTTGATAATTCACATTTGTGAATTTTGATAATTTACATTTGTGAATTTTGGTAATTCACATTTGTGTATTTTGATAATTCACATTTGTGAATTTTGATAGTTCACATTTGTGAATTTCAAAATAAACATTTTTTCTACAATCAGAAAACCATAATTTCGGTCTTAAACATTAAAATGAGTTTCTATCAGGGTTTTTTTTACCCTAATCATTTTTTTCTAGTAGTTAATTTTTTATGCTATTCTGCTTTCTTGTTTAAACCCATCATCATTAACATGTAAATTAAGGAAATAAATTTATACTGAAGCCATAATTCGAAAAGACTCATCTAAGATCAGAACAAAAGTTTTAATTTTTTTACTTTAATTAACTAAGTTTATCTAAGCCTCTTACCTCAAGCAAATCAAGATTATCATTGCATTAACTAGTGTACTAGTGTATTTAAAAAATATAACTTTTTTGAAGGTCTCAATAAGAATTGCGTTTCTTTGAATTCCTTGAACTCCATTCTTTGAATTTTGAATTTTAAAATCTCTCATATTTGAAACACTAATGATATGACCACATAAAGTTTCAAAATCTCTCATACTTGAAACTTTTACATTTTTAGAAAGTGTCAAAAAATAACTAAAGACATGGCGTTTATTTATTTTCGACAGTTCATGTCAACCTACTAAAATGATTGATTAAAATTTTTTTAAGTAAAAGTATAAATAACACTATATTATATCATAAAAATAAGTAAACATTAAAAGCCCCTAGATGTCAATTTACGAAAATGAAAAAAATATATATGGTATGAAGAAACTACTATCATGAACTAAAACCTAGCCTATCAATTCTATCATTTAAATTTGATTTGAAGACCAAAAAATCTAAAAAAAAATTGAAAAGCCTTGGTAGATACTGTACCAAATTGTGTAGATAGGAGTCATAAGAAAATATTATAGTAAAAATTTTGTAAAAAAAAAAAAAAAGCTCAAAAAACTAGATTTTTCATATTTCTGACTTGATCAGAATTAGTTTGCAAAATACAACAAGTTTTTAGTTTTTAAATCAATAACATGTTGTCACAAAACTTTTATACATTGCTTTGAAGCTAGATAGTGATTACTATGTATATTACCTTTAGGTATCTTTGTACAGCACAGTAATTGGTTACACAGGCCATTTATTTTGTGAGCATTTGTAACTTTGGTTACACAGGCCATTTATTTTGTGAGCATTTGTAACTTTGGTTACACAGGCCATTTATTTTGTGAGCATTTGTAACTTTGCAATAAATGATGAGTTATTATAATAAAAAAAAAAAATTGTTAAAGCACTTCAAATTTTTTTTTAATTTAAGAATTTGTGAGCATTAACAAAGAAAATTTTACCATAATTTACCAAAATCACTTTACTGATTAAATCAATAAATTGCTATTACTAATAAACCAGTAAAGTTTAATCATCATATAAACAATACATATGTGAAAGTAAACTAGTAAAAGCAGAAAATAAATAGTTTATACTTAATTCAAAAAGTGTTTTTTAAAGCAAGTGAATTTTAAATAAAGAGTTACTCTGCAAAAAAATTACCACTTGATTTTAATTTCACTTTATTGGAAAAATAAATTCTCTTGTTTAAATCATTTTTTGTTTAAACAATGTTTAAATTTGAGTTTCTATTATTTTTGATTTAATTCACTGCTTACTTTAATTAAACTTGTAGGAAACTTAAAAATATAAAAGATGCTATAATCATGAGTTTTAAACTTTCTTAAATTACTTGTTGGCTGAGCTTATATCATCACTAAAAGAACTTTACACTTCTTAAAAATATGATTGAGATGGCTTTTATAATTATTAAAAAAACTTTATATTTCATCATATTACCTGTTAGTTGATCTTGCTTAATAAAAACTGTAAAATAAGAAGTAAAAAAGTAAATAAAATATTAAAATAACATAAATTAAAATCTAACACATATTATTTTAATTTTTTGATATTTATTCTTTTAAATCATATCAAATATAGTATTCTGATAACATATGATTATAGAAAATAATCCATTTTAATTTAAGTGAGAAAAGGTTTATTTAAAGTAAATAGAAATCATACTGAAACACTTCCAAAAAATAGAATACATTTTAATATACATTCATAAAAGGGATAATTTACTTTAAAAGTAGTAAAAAAAAAAAAGCATTTTAAGAAATGAAGATAACAACAATAACAATGAAAAAGTTTTTTTTCTTAACTTTAACCTTTTAACATCAAAAAATAGCTTTTGGACATTAGTTAAGAAATTAACTAGAAGCAATAGGTAGTCATAAAAATTATGACAGAAAGATATAAGTTTCCTCTATTGTTGATCATATTTCATACCCATTGCAACACTTAATACTGTGATTATTAGAGGATAAAAAATTTCTGTTCAAGTAATCAATAAGGATTATTTGACCAATATTAATATTACTCTTTTATTTGTAAAGCAAAGGTTATAAATTTATTATTATTATTCTTATTATTGTTGTTGTTGTTTTTATTACTATTATTATTGTTATTATTATTGTTGTTAAAATTATTATTGCTATTATTGTTATTATTATTATTATTAAAATTATTATTGTTATTATTATTATTATTATCTTTCCTATATTTTTACAAAATCTAGCTATCTTTTAATGTATAATATTATCTGTCAACACCAATAGATCAATAAGAACTTGTGTGCAAGAAAGAGTAGCGAAATAACTTCATAAAATAAAAAAGCTAAGCTACTAATTTATTATAGAATAAATTAGTAGCTTAGCTTTGCTACTAATTTATTCTATAATAAATTAGTAGCTTAAATTAATACAAAATTTAAAGGAAAAATTTAAACATAACATGTATTCTTTCTACACATAACAGAAAAACAAATTTATTTTTATGCACAAAAAAAATCTTATTTACTTGATTTACTTAGTGAAATACTTGATTTACTTGGTGATATATTTGATTTACTTGGTGATATATTTGATTTACTTGGTGAAATACTTGATTTACTTGGTGATATATTTGATTTTGATAAACCTAAATAGCAAAATTAATTATAACAATTCATGAAAAATTAAAAATGTTTAACTTTACCACACAAAAAAATTAACTGCATCATATATAAGCAGATAAAAATTATCTGGTTAAATAAGATTACTGCTAGTTGGTATTGTTAATCTGGATCACTTTAAGCAAAAATTGTTGTTTCAAAAAAATAAAAATAAATAGAGAAACACAAATTACTAGAAGATATTGACAAAAGAAAATCATCAGCATTCATTATTAAAGAAATATGGTAGTTAAAATTTTAAAAAATTTACATTTTAATAAAATGTAAATTTTTTAAAATTTTAACTACCATATTTCTTTAATAATGAATGCTGATGATTTTCTTTTGTCAATATCTTCTAGTAATTTGTGTTTCTCTATTTATTTTTATTTTTTTGAAACAACAATTTTTGCTTAAAGTGATCCAGATTAACAATACCAACTAGCAGTAATCTGATTTAACCAGATAATTTTTATCTGCTTATATATGATGCAGTTAATTTTTTTGTGTGGTAAAGTTAAACATTTTTAATTTTTTTATATTTGAGTCAAAGAAAACAATACTTCTATAAAAAAAGACAGGAAATAATTTTTCCAATAAATATTTAGTCAAAGCGTGTAACTAATTTAATGATTTTAAAATATTATTGTATATTATAAAACATATTATAAAATATTATTTTAATTATAATATTATAAATACAATAATACAATATTATAAAATAATATTTTATATTATAAAAAATACTATAAAACATTATTGATTTTCTGTATGAAATCATTCTCTCTTCATTTATTTTTTCCATGTGACTTTAAAACAACCAACATTATTAATTTTCAGTATGGAACCATTCTCTTGTGAACTATTCAAAGTCTTTGCATTTTGCAAAAGAATTTGGGTGCAGCAATTTTAAATCAATGGAAGATTAGATGAAAAAAATAAATAAATTGAAAATGCAGGTCTTTCCAGGATTTTTCAGAACAATTGGTAATTATTTATTATAACTACATTATTTCCAAAACTATTTCAGGGCTTAAAAAAAATTATAAATTCTAGGACTTTCCAGGACTTAATTTCCTTAATGATAGCCCAAAGTAACAAAAAAAATGTCAAAACATCAGCTACCTAACTGATAAACGTGAATAAAAAAACTATTGGTTAAAAACTTATCATTTACAAAACCTTCCCTGTCTGGGGACTTGAAATGTTCTATAATAAAACATTTATATATATAGTTCTATAATAAAACAATAATAACATTTTATTGTTACGTCTCAATTGGTTACAATTGGTAACAAAGTTACATTCTCTAATTTTTAATTAAATATTAAGTAAATAAACTTGATAGTGCAGTAAATGTTTGTTTATCATTGCCATATTTCTAATCAGAGTTGTTAGTCCTTGGCCTTGGCCTCAGCCTTGCCTTAAGGCCAAAAATGAAGGCCTTGAAACTGTTGGCTTTGGCCTTGAAAATTTTGACCTTGTTCTTGATTGTTTTGGCTTCGGCAAGAAAAAAGAATTAAAAGTTTTCATTCTTTATTTTTTATGTTTTTTTTTTTTTTTTCGGCTTTCATATATATCTACAAGTATATTTTATTATTGACTTTTGTTGAATTCTGCACATAACATTGGTTTATTTTTACAATATGTGGTTTTATTATCACATCAATTGTTACCTACAGATTTGTTAACAATTGGCCTTAATGTGAGGCAAAGATTGAAGTCTTTGGTCTTGAAAATGTTTGCAAAGACCTTAGCCTTGAAATTCTTATTCTTGGCCTTGACCTTAAAACTCTTGGCCTTGTAATTTTTGGCTTTTGTCTTGGCCTTGGCCTTGTAACATGTGGCCTTAGCCTTTCTACTTTTGGCCTTATCATCAGCTCTGTTGCTAATTATCATCTTTTATTCTATTTTTATTGTAAAATAGCTTCATCTTAGTTGGTTACTTTGTCGCAAAAAAAAAAAAGTTTTAACTTGCAATGTTATGTCTCAATTGTTTGTTTTTTTAACTTTTTAAAGTGAGACGTAATGTAATGTAAAGTAATCTAGATTCGAGTTGTAACTAAAATATGTCTTGAATATAGATTTTTTTAACGTTAGGTCTTAATTGGTTACATTTTGAAAAGTTTAAAAAAAAATTGAGAAAATGTAATGTAAAGTAATCTATATTTGTATAGTAATTCAACTAAGTTTTAATTCTTAAATGTTTAATGTTACGTTACACCTTGATTAGTTACATTTTTAAAAGTAATAAAACAAATAATTAGATTGCTTAAGCAACCTAGTTATTTGCTTTATTACCTTTAAAAGAGAAACCAATTGAGACATTACTTTTAAAGCTTTAAAAGTTTTATTTACCTTTAAAAAGTTTTTTTTTTTTAAAAACTAACCCACAAGCTTGTGTGTTACTTTTTTATTTTTTTAAAAAACATTTTTAATTAAAAAAGGTATTTAATTAAAAAAGGTATCTATTCACAATATTGTTAATAAATAATATTGTTAAGAAAGCAATTTTGTTAAATTTAATTACTGTAACTCATTATGAGTTATGATATTTAACAATGCGTTTATCAAGACTTCACTATTAAAATAAGAATCTTGAATTGATTTTCGATTTGAGCTAACTATTTCTGAAAAATTTTAATATTGATTTTTTGCTAGTTTAGCAGACTTTTGTGACAAATATTTAATCATATTTAACTAATTTTTGCAATAGAATTGAAAAACTAATAACACAAGTATTTTTTTTTTAATTTGAATTTGAAATAAAATTTAGGTTTATGAATACTGCAGTCTGTATTATGACAAAGAGGACTTCTCAAGGACTACTGAAATATGTAATAAACTTATTCACAAAGCAGTGATTAAGCTCATTTAGCACAACTTTTATTTTCACTTTCCCTATGCAAACAAAATTACATTGGATAACTAACTGTTCCTATTAAAAAGCTAATTAGTAGGCACCCACTTGAATTTGTGTCTGCTTTAGATCAAGGATAAAAGCAAATTTTAAGGTTCCAACATCTATAAGAGGAATAAGTTTTTCCTATTTCCTTTGTTCCCTTAAATTTCTTGAAAAAGTAAATTTATATTTTGTCCATCTGATGAAATTTGTAAAATATATGATCTGTCTATATATTTTTAACATTTTTTTTTATTTAGGTGCCCCAAGAAGTCCTTATGGTCTTATCATAGAGCACCGCGGATGAGCATTTAATTGGATGTTCATGCTTCCTTCCTAACCGATGTTGCAAAACTTGCCAGAGATGGGGTTTGACCAACGGATTCTTTCATTCTGAGATAAGTATGCTACCGCTGCTCAATATGATTCTAAAGCAACTACACTATATCAGAAATTTATGAATATCTGCATAACAGACTATATCAGAAATTTAATAATATATATATTAAATAACTAAGAATATAAGTTATTAAATATAGGTATATTTAATAACTAAGAATATAATAATGGCTATGTCAGAAATTTAGGAATGTCTGCATAACATCAGATGCAGTTGAGCACCTCATGAGCTCTGATTTAAGATAATGAGTCCATTTGAAATTTCTGAAAAATTTGGTGTGTAAAATGGTGTAAAATGGTAAATTTAATAATTTAGATAGCAACTCATTTTAAAAATAGAGAGCAAGTCCAAATGTTGCAATATAATTTGCCTTGGTGACTCCATTTTGAAACAACTTAACAACTTTCCAGAATCAGTTGATGAATTCATTATTATCTAAAATACACTAACAGGCCTTGTAATGAGATTTTGTTGTGTAACAGAAAAATATTTGCATAACAGAAGATACTTGAAACAAACAATAATAAATTGACAAACATACAAATTTCCAGGACTTTTTTCAGAATTTTTCAGAATAACTAAAAAAATCCTGGATTTTCCAGAACTTCTTTTAAATTCAAGGACTTTCCAGGACTGGTGGGAATTCTGACAAGTCTATTTGTTCTTAATTTGGTCTATTGTACATAATGAAAAATGGTCTTGTCAAAGAGTATAGAGCAATAGCATTTAACAGGGTGGGGAACATAAGGCCAGGCAACAACAAATCATATTTCCCCTCATTTTTCCCTGACTAAAATGAAATTTCCCTGAATTTAAATGTAAATTTAACCAATGTAGCAATAAAAATACATATAAAACTCACATAACTTTACCCAAATAATAGAAGTTTTCTTAAAATCTGTTTACTTTAAATGAATAAATATTTTCAACAGAAAAATTAAAAAAATTCTGAAGTAAAAAAATAAACTGATTTTTAGTCTCCAACAAGCAAAAAGTTATGTTATTTTTTACTGGATTTATCAAAACTTAATATATTTCTTGACTTTTCTCTGATTTTTAACATGGTTTAAAGTTTCGCTGAATTTTCCAGGTTTTCTAGGTTGCTGGCTACTGTAATTTAATTATAAAGCAGCCATGGTGCAGTAGTTAGTGTGGTTGCTTTAGAATCATAAGGTCTGAGGTTTAGAATCATAAGGTCTGCTCTGGCCATAATTGCAACACCAATTATTGAAAATGGTGTGAGCTTCCTCATTAGATGCAGTGTTCTGTGACAAAATCCTAAGGCTTTTTTTAGGGCACCATAATAACCTGAACTTTAAAAAAATTAATGAGAAGATTTGTTTTTAGCCTTTTGATTAAATAACCTTTCAACAATCTTTTTTATTCTTCCTAAAAACAAATAAATGCTTTTGAGAAAAGTACAAAAACTTTAGGGAGGTATTTAAAAACAAAAAATTTAAAAACAAATAATAAAATATTTAAAAAATACAATATTATATATTATTGTCCTTTTTATAAATTTTATAAAATATATTAAAAAATTGATTAAAATATAATATAGTCTATAAAGACTATATTATATTTTATACTAAATATGTACCTTCTTTAATTGAAGCACCTACAAGAGTCTTGAGAGACAAAAAAATGAAGACAATGCAGTGTGTTCTAAAATAAAATTGAAGAATAAAATAAACACTTATGTCATTTTCCTGCATGCTGAAAAACAAAATTCAGTTAAGCACTTGTTAAATTATTTAGACAGTAATGAAAAGAGTTCTTAAGAACACTTTTGTATGATTATAACTGGAATGGTGTCCTAGACTACAAACTGTAGATTTGTTTTTATTGAGTATTATTTTAAAAATTATGTTGTCTTTTTTAAATACTTTAAAGATGTCACAAATGCTAGGTAAAAATATTTGATTAGTGGTTACTTTGTCTCAAAAAGGTATACTGGTGTTGCTTTTGTTTAAGTTTCTAAAGAAACTGTTACAAAGAAACTGTTTACAATAAAAATGAGTTGTTGATGATATTTTTGAGTAAAAAAGAAAACTTTTGAATTTGTCTGCATTTAATGGGTTGCAAATAATTATTTACGTTATACTTTATTTAAGTTTTTAGTAAAAATCATTTCAAAATTTGGAATTTTTGTAAAAGATTCCTTATATTATGGCTTGATGTTACCTAAAATCCATGATGTGTATTTAAAATACAAAAAAATCTTTGCAATTTTTTTTTAACTAGAATCTTTACAATTATGCAATGAAATATAAGTTCCTGATTCTATTGAAGCATTAGATTTTTAGAAGCATATTGTTTCTAAAACTTTTGATTACAAAAATTTATTATTAAAATTTAAAATGTGAATTATTAGTCTTTGGAAAAAAAGCAGATATTGTCATGTACTGAGTGTTAAAGTAAAATCTTATACATGCTCCAAAATGTTTACTCTTAAAACTCCTGCAATAGAATGCAACAATTACTGTAATAAATGATTTCAATGCAAGCAATACAGCGTGGAAATAAAACTAATGAAGTCTGCTTTTGATATATATGTAGTAAAAAAACTTTTTTAGAACTTAGTTCTGCTATCAATAAAAATGCATTCCATTCTTTAAAAATTTGTTTTGAGAAGAGCAGCAGAAGTATTTGAGTGGTTCAAATCTATCATCCACCCTACAAGGGGTTTTAATTCAACTTTTTTGAATGAATTCTCTAAAAAAGAAAACATTTCCTCCTCATCAAAAGTTTGTTTCAAATAATTTTGATAAAATAAAGATCTAAGAAGATTTAATTTGCAACATATATACCGGAAAACTTATCGACTTAAATGATTAAAAAAATATTTTTACTTAAAAAATGTGAATTAGCTGCTCATATTTTTATAATATTTGTGAAAGCATTGTTAACTCTTATTCATTTTTACAACTTTTTCAACAATTGAAATTACATCATTTCATATTATATGTTCATATTATTTAAAAAGCTGTGTTTCGTAGCATGAAACACAGCCCCCCCCCCACCCTAAACCCTTAAAGTGAGGGCAAATTTTTACTGACTTTTATAACTTAACTATTTTAAACTAAATTTATATCCACCAATAAAGTTTAAATCCCCCAACTTTCAAGGGTTTCGAAACCCAAGTTTAAAGTCTGCTTCATGTCTGAAAGCAATCTTTCTTAAACATCAAAATAAGCTGACACAATACCTGATAGATCTGGTAGCCAAATCACCCCAGAAGCCCTTGCAGAAAGCTATGCTAAAACTTGCAATGTAATGAAAATAAACTGAGTGAATTTAAAAAAGTAATATATGGTACAAATCTGTTTCATTAGAATATAATAAAACAATATTACTTTTTTAAAAATTTTAAGGATATAGTGTTTGTAGTACTGACTAAAAACAACCTTTTTTCTTCAAATAAGCATTAATGATTTGAAAATAGCTTTTTTTAAAATATGAATAGTTTTTGTGAAAAATTTTCGAAAAAATAATTTTTTTTACTTGTCATTTTTTTTTAATTGTGACCATCATTTACATCACTGACTTTTCTCCAGCTCTATTCATGCCTAAAATAGTTATGTATGGAAATAGGAGCGGAAGAGAAGGGGTTATTCTGGTAAAACAATTTTAGCGGTAGCTACACGTCGAGCGAAAAAATTAAGAGAAACAATCCGTTACCAGATATTTTGAGATATGCAGTAGCAACACAGTGGGCCAAGCAACTGTTTTCACGGACATAGGTTCATAACATTTGAACAGAAAGTGCTATGGGGTTGATTAAGAACTTTTTGGAAAAGTTTTATCGTGTAAATTTTTGAAAAACTAAAAATTATTTTGCTGCAGGATATTTAGGTCATAATTTAAAAGAACAAAATATTGAAAATTTCATAAAATTTGCTTTTTTTATAGGTTATAACAAAATTATGTATGTTTATAAACATGTATGTATATTTTGTAATACTAAGATAACATAGGTACATCAATGACAAAAACAATAAAAATTATCTAAAGAAGTACTAATATATGTAGTTTATTTATATATAACCACTTTAAAATGTGTCATCTTGAGATAAAGTTTATTAGAGATTTATCAGAATGTCCTCATTCATACCAAAATTTGCAGAATGGTTTTGACTTGTATCTTTTGTCAAAAAAAAATTGATCAAGCGATATCCACATTCAGTTAATGGTGTTTGTTAAATTTACAATTTAGGAGTTTTTTCTTGAGAGCCTAGCATGCATCAATCTTAATATTTTGCTGTTACCTTTTAACCCTGAATAATAAAGATTTTTCAAACCGCTTTCCTCATTCAAAATTAGCTCCCAAGAATGACCAATCAGTTTGTGGAACGATGGTGTTATACTGATCCACGGTTTAGATAAATTTATTTTTGTAAAAGGTGGAAACTCGTTAAATAAGAATAATTAAAAATCTGTACAATAGCTTTTATATTGATCCACATAAATTTTTCTTTTTGAGGAAAATACTCAAAGAGTTACTGAGCACCAATTCAAACTTTTGAAATGCCGCATGATTATAAACAGGCATTTGTGCAATAATTAAATCTATGTTTGATTTTTTGTGTAATAGTTCTCTAGCTATATAACCTGTTGTTGTTGCTCCTCATTTTTCAATTGTATCAGGGTACTCCCATTTTATATCTTTTTTTTTAAATATCTCTGTAATGAAGTCTCTGCTTGTTTCAGAAATCTATTTGAACCACTGAAACTCAGACCACTCAAAAATACCTACTCTCACATGTACAACAGTTTTCATGAAATGGTCAAATGTACCTAGTAAAGCAGTAATAATTTTTAATATCAAGTATGTTCACATACTAAAAATATAGAATAATATGAACACTATTACAAGAAAAAAAACAATTTTGAACAAAGAGTTTTTTTTTTCGTATATAAATGCCTAATTAAACTTATTAAAATAGTTATTCTCCTCAAGCAAGGTTTTCTTACCAGCTTTGAATGGTATACCAGCACAGCCCATTTTTTTAAGTTTGTTTTCTTTAGATGCAGATCTTTGCCAGCTATTCTGAACTAATGTTTTTTGTGCAAATGTCAATTCATCGGAGCCAAGTGCCTTAGCAATTATCAGCATACAAATTGTATATTGGCAAAAAAAGTTTTTTATTGTTTATTTTCCTCAGCAATAAAAATTTCAAATAAGTCAAATTCAGTAAGGTTCATTGATATTAAACCAAAGATATAAATATTTTTGCAGACCTTTTTTTGCAGGATGAGCAACGCTCAGATTTTTCTGAGCGAATCCTAGGTCTGTATTTTTGTAGCTTCATTATCTAATAACTTTTTCAACAAAATGATTTAAACTTAAAATAATATAACTTAAAATATGAACAAGTTTACATGATAAGTAAAAATATTATATTATTCTTATATATACGACAAAGCCCTCAGTTTTGATTTTAACTCTTTTTTTTTTGTTCATTTTAAAACCGAATTCAATGCTGCAATACTTTTATTATTAATGGTTGTACTAACAAGATTAAATAGGGTCATTCTTTTACTTTTTTTGTTTAAAAGTGCACAATTTAGTTAAAAAGCATCTTATTCCTGGGTTTACTACCCAGTGGACACAAGTACGTTTTTCAAATGTTTTGTAAATGTTTTATGGTCGCTATAAAGACTTTGTATAATTAAAACGTCCAAAAAACGTTCAAAAAACGTTTTATTACTTTTTTTTTCTATTATTTAATTTTGTATCTTACGGGATCTTTATAAAACGTTGGAAAAACGTTTTTTATAAACCGAAATCAGCGCAATGCGCATGTACAACTTTATACGGCGTATTTTCAGTTTTATCTAAGAACTCATACGACTGAAAAAAAACCTTTTTAAAAGTAAAATATACATTCCTTAGTTCTATAAACTCTTTGTAAGATATATGGTCTTTTATAATTACTATATATATATATATATATATATATATATATATATATATATATATATATATATATATATATATATATATATATATATATATATATATATATATATATATATATATATGTACGCGATAAGCGCGGTTTACGGAACCGAATTTTGTGCTAAAATTTTGATCCACGCTTTTCGTAGTCTCTTCAAAGTTAGCGTGGTTGAGAAAGGCTGTGTGGAACAACTTTTTAGTATTTGTTATCAACATAGTATATTTTTAGAAAGTAGAATAGTTGAGCTTCTTCTTGTACTTGGTTTTAATTATACTCACTTGCTTTATTAACGAGTTTATTGATGTCAAAACTTTGTCATACTTCGGTGATGAAGTTAATGTCTAATATATGCTGCAATATTTTTCTTTCCTTTTTTTTTTAAAAAATTTTTTCATTTATCTATGCACCTGCCAAATTTCATTGAAAAATTTTATGTAGCTGGCACTCTATTTATTGTCACACCTTTGGTACTTAACTTACTTTTTCCTTAATACTAGCGTGGGAGACAGAGGGGTCTATTGAATAATTTTTTATTTATTATTTTGATTTAGATAAACAGCAATATTTCTATTAATATTAGTAATAAGAATGACAAATAATAGTAATATGAATGCTATGATTGCCTTTTTTTTATTATTAAACATTAATAACATTAACTTTAAGTTAATAACTTACACAAGTTATGTGAGTTATTAAGCCTTA